TCATTTTCTTTTAAGCATATATTCTCCATATTAATTTCCAAAAACATGGTGTAGTATTTTCAGATAATATGCAGTATATGGTGTTGATTTGTTAATTTAAAAAAATAAAAAGTGTGTTTTGCGTTTACGATTATTCCAATTGAATATATAATCACAATTAGCGCTTCACATGAAACTCATGTTATAACCTAGTAGTGTTGTTATTGTGTCACAGGACCACACCACTTCTGTTCAAACCAAGAATGCATAATATTGATAATTCCATTTTTTATTTTTTTTTAGAAAGTGGATATGCTTCTTAATTATTTAGCTCTAGCTCAAAGCTCAAATCCTGTATAACTGAAACAAGATCCGACTTATTTAATTATGTATGTTGTAAAAAAAAAAAAAGTAAAGAAAGTGAACGCTTCTTAATTAGCTATCGAACTTAAACATTATATAACTAGAACAATATCTGATTTAATTAGTTTAATGTAGTTTGATTTGCAATATTAGAAAAGATTTATGCTAAGATTGTTTTTCGCATGGATGCTGATGATTTTGTTTACGAGATGAAACACAGCAAATAGCATATGAATATGCAAAGAGAAGAGCTAATTTGGTGTTGGTGGCGAGGAGAGAGCAGAGACTGAGAGTTGTGAGCAGCAAAGCCAAAGCGATTGGAGCTAACCACGTCATCATCATCGCTGCTGATGTCATCAAAGAAGATGATTGCCGCCGTTTTATCACACAAGCCGTCAACTATTACGGCCGCGGTATACATAACTTATCGCTATTTCCGCGATATATCTATATTTTTGATCGATTCGAATATTAGAGCTATATGTTAGTCTTATGCTTTGAGCTAGTTAACAATTTTAATGAAAGTGTTGTTTTACATTTGATGATGAATTCGACACAGTGGATCACCTAGTGAATACTGCGAGTCTTGGACACACGTTTTACTTCGAGGAAGTGACTGACACGACTGTGTTTCCGCATTTGCTGGTATGTTTTCTTAATTTTTATACTTTCCGGTTCTTCTATTGTGCATTGGTCGTTTCAAAAGAATAGATACTGAAAATAGATTTTGATATTCTTGATCAGGACATAAACTTTTGGGGGAATGTTTATCCGACCTATGTAGCATTGCCATACCTTCAAAAGACCAACGGCCGTATAGTCGTGAATGCATCGGTCGAGAATTGGTTGCCTCTGCCACGGATGAGCCTTTATTCTGTTAGTACTTAAACTAAAACCCTTTATGGTCCTTTAAATATATAGCTTGATCTTTCTTCTATCTCATAAGAGACTACATAATTGTATCATTGTGTAGGCTGCAAAAGCAGCACTGGTCAACTTCTATGAGACGCTGAGATTCGAGCTGAATGGAGACGTAGGAATAACTATCGCGACTCACGGATGGATTGGGAGTGAGATGAGTAGAGGAAAGTTCATGCTAGAAGAAGGTGCTGAGATGCAGTGGAAGGAAGAAAGAGAAGTAAAAACCTTATTTAGCCACATTTGTGATTGAATGAACCTAAAGTCCCAACAAAGACTTACTGGCATAATCTGCAGGTACCTGCAAACGGTGGACCACTAGAGGAATTTGCAAAGATGATTGTGGCGGGAGCTTGCAGAGGAGACGCGTACGTAAAGTTCCCAAACTGGTATGATGTGTTCCTCCTTTATAGAGTCTTCACACCGAATGTGCTGAGATGGACATTCAAGCTGTTGCTGTCTACTGAGGGTTCACGTAAAAGCTCCCTTGTTGGGGTTGGGTCGGGTATGCCTGCGGACGAATCCACTGCACAAATGAAACTTATGCTTGAAGGAGGCCCACCTCGGTTTCCCGCAAGCCCACCTCGGTTCACTGCAAGCCCACCTCGGTATCCTGCAAGCCCACCACGGTTCACTGCAAGTCCACCTCAGTATCCTGCAAGCCCACCTCGCTTTGCACAATTTAATATCCATGAGTTGTAATAAAAGCT